TATATATATATGTATATATATATGTATATATATATATATATATATGTATATATATATATATAGATGTAGGGTCGCGCTCCGATGAGAATGGTGCTCAATGAAAGAAATAAGAATATATCGTAGCCATTAGATCGGATGATTTAATGGTTAAAAAAAAAAGTCAAAATTATACCTTCATTAAGGTACTGAGGTAATCGTACACACCACACCCAAACAGGTGAGCCCCTTTCACAATAAAACACGTGCCTAACACTACCCACCCACCACATTAAACCACATTAATGCACCTGACACCTACCCACCCAGCCATCAGCCACCCTACTCCACTCCACCACACCCTCCACTATCTCTCTCTCACACACGCACACACACACACAAATCTGCACACACATTCGCGGCCAAACACCGCCAGCACGCCGCCACGCCAGTCAGTTACTGTCACCACCCGTACCCCCACGGCCTGTCAGTCGCCGTCACGGTGAAAATTCAGGTGCTGCCGTCCGTCAGTCTGCCACTGCTCGCCGCCGCTACCGCTGTTCCGCCCGCTCTCTCCAAACACTGTCGCCGTTGTCCGTCACGGCGACGACGTCTTCACGCCGTCCGTCATGCCATATGCCGTCGTCGTCCTCATGTCGCCGCCGTCCTCGATCCGTCGTTCGCCGCCATCTAACTCCTCAGAATACGACAGCCAGACTCTAACCGACTACAGCTGCCACATGCCTGACCGAGACTGTCGGGATCCATCTCGCTGCCGGAGGAGGTGGAGCTCGGTTTTGCCGCCATTAATCTCGCCGCCTCTAACCTCCTCCACCGTGAAGCGCCGTCATACACCGGCCGCCGTCATCCTCGTCGTCCTTACTTCGATTCGACGATCAAGGTGCAGCACCCAGCAGGAGCTCGACAGTCATTAATGGTGGGCTTGACTTTGAAAATGGATAAGCCTCAAGGGCTTGACCGCAATTTCAGCTATTTTGAGAATATTTCAATTAGGTCCATTGGGCCAAATTTGTGATTCATGAAAAATATATAAAAAATATTATTTCATATATTTTTTTTATACATATATGTTATGCATTTTTATACCAAAAAATAATATAAAAATATTAAAAAAAATCTATATACTGAATACTAAATAAAATAAAAAATAATATTTTTATATACTAAATATTTAAATTACACATTATATTATTTAGATAATATTATATAATATTTAAATTACACATTATAATATATATACATATCTATATTATAACTCAATAAAAAATAATATAAATATTATATAAAATATAAAATACACTGAATATATTTTTATGAAAAATAGCTACAATTCAAATGCACATTAGTGTTCGACAGATTGCACATTAGTGACCAACAGATCGCACATTAGTGACCAACAGATCGCACATTATCAAATTTGGTATTTAACATATTACGTATTTTCAAGCAAAAAATATTATAAAATATAGAATATAAATATTATATTTTGTTATAATATAAATAATAAATTAATTTAATTATTTATGTTAATTCAATTAACATATCAAAATAAACTAATTATTTTGCTTTTAGGTTGTTTTGGGATACATCATTAAAAGATAACTGCAATGTGAGTGCACTTTACCATTAGACGGGTTGCACACCAATAATTGTCGTATTGCACGATATCTACAGAAACCGACCAAACTAAACGTTTCGTGTTAAATTTTATTTTTCGGCTCCATTATCTGTTTTTACTTTTATTAAGTCAGTTAATTCGGTTCGGTACCAAACCAAACAAACTAATTATAAAAAATATTAATTTTTTGTATTTTTATTTTTAAAAAATCAATTATTTATTTTGTAGCAAAAAAAAAGCATTAACAATCAAATAAAAATGTTAAAAATAATAAATGTGATTTTTTATAATATAAATAACATTTTATTTCAGTTATTTTGGTTAATTTAGTGACCTGGTCGAATAAAACAAGTAAGTATGATCAATATTTATTTGGATTGGGGCGAAAGTTCGGTAAGTTCATATTGCACAATAGCAACTGAAATAATGCACCATATTGATATACGATTTGCACATCAATGACTGTCATACTGCACAATATCAACCGAAATCGACCGACCTTAAGTTTTTTGTTCGAAAAATTTATATGTCGGTTCGATTATATGATTTTATTACTAAAGTTTTGGTTATTTGGATTTATATCATTTATGTGCATTATATATCATAAATATATGTTTAAATTCTTCACATGAAATTTTAAAGTGCATACGTCCACATACTAATGTGCAGTTTATTTATCAGTAATGTGCAATTATTATAATCTAATATTTTGGTATAAAAAAAAAACTTTATAGTATTTTAATGTTAATATACACACCCCATAATGTGCAATTTCCTCATCAATGTGGTGCATTTATTAAAGTATGGTAAATTACAAATTCAACACATGTACTAAATTGAAAGTGTGTGTAACTTTTTTATTTTGCATACAAGTCCTTGAGCCTTATCAAATTTTCAAGATGCAGTCCCTCATCACCTCAAACTAGCAGTGTCAAACGGGTCGGGCCGGTCCGGCCCACTGCGACCCGCGCTGGCCTGCGGTTCAAACGGGGCAGGCCAAAATGGTCCGCATTTCTACGGGCTGGGAAATCCATGGCATGCCAAATCGGCCCCCACACGGGTTTTTTGGTATTATGCACTCTTATATACTTTTTTATTTGTTTATCTTTATATTTACTAGTATATTAATAAACTAGTAAGGCTTCATGTGTAATGATGTTAAATATTTGTCATCCAGTTTTTATTTTTATTTTTTTTATGAATAATTATAGAGTACTCACGCGGAGGAGAGACTTAATTCACATAAAATATTATTTGATTCATTAATATTTTTATTATGTAAAAAAGTGTTTCATGTGCATTCACAAATCTTGATATCATTGTTAAATTTTAAAAAATATAAAATAAATAAATATGGAAGAAGAAGAAGAAGAAAAAAAAAAGACGATAAAGACAAAATCCAACAAAATAAATAAGTCTATCAATAGAAGTAAAATAAGAAATACTAAATTTAAATAATATAAAATTAACAATAAATAAATAATAAAAAAGCGAGCTGGACCGCGGGCCAGCTCGCCCCAGCCCGCTTTAGACCGCGGACCGAACGGGGCGGGCCAAATAGGCCCGGGATTGAACGGGCATGGCCAAGCAAAGGCCCAAGCCCGTCCATTTAGGCAGACGGACGGGCCAGCCCGCGGGCCATAGCCCGTTTTGACAGTGCTACCTCAAACAAATCTGTCACTTTTCCGGCCACTGATTTCTCGCCCCGACTCAGCCGCCCGGGGTCTGCCACTGCCACCGGAGCCTCCATGCCACGCAGCCGCCGCCGGAGCTTCCTGCTCCACCACCTCACAGACATCGACACACATAGAAACAATTCGACGAGATCCGCCACCTCCGCCGCTGGTGCGAGCAATCCGACGAGATCCGCCACCACTGCCGCTGGCGCGATCTGTCGAGCTTGAAAGACCACCGCCGGACGCCGGAATTTTCGATTTGAAACAACCGCATCAGCTGCGGGCGAGAAAAACATATCGTCGAGTTGGGGCTGTCCATATGGAAGACGACGGTAGTGGTGGTTGAGACGGGCAGCGAGGCGGTGTGTATTTATTTTTTTGGGCTGATTTTCGGCCGGAGTTTTAGCAGTGACTTGGCCAGAGAGAATCCGGCGACCATTGGTCGTGAGGCGTATGGCGGGACTGTGAATATGAAGACGGCGACAGGAGGAGCCGGGAGGATCGCGGCTGGCGGCGGCAGATAGGCGGCGAGAGGCGATTGCGGGAGGCCAGATTCAGTCAGTGTGTGTGTGTGTGCAATCAGTGTGTGTGGCTGTGTGTGTAGGCGTGATTTAATATGTGTAATTGTGTGAGAGAGGGTTAGTTGTTGTGTGTGGGATCCACTTAGTATTGGGGTTAGTATTTAATGACCAAAATATTTGAATATAATATGACCACTTAATTACTAAATTGCCATAACATGTTTGACTATCCTATTTAATATTTGACTTAATAATGTCCATTGATATCATTGATTCAATAGTACAGATTCATTCTTATTTTTTCACTATCTCTCTTTCTCATATGATCATAGATGTATTAGATGCTGATTTTAGTATTTTATAAAATTATAATATTAAAATGTATTTTTTCTAATCAAATGAGTTGTTATAATTTTATCTTATCATTAATCATTGTCATCATTTACAGGAATTATCTAAACGAAGTACTGTAGGAAACTATATGATATAGATGATATTGAGGTTTATAGGATCTTGTACCATGATATCTAATATTAATGTTATTTGTTGATAAATTTATTATTACTTTTTTAAATTTTATTTGTTTTATAAGAGAAGGTACACTTAAAAAAAATATTAAAAAATAAACGATAAAAATTGTTAATTTAGCCAATAATATTTTGCCACGTCATAATCTAAGTCGTCAAAAAAAAAAATATATAAAAAAACGTTATTGTTGAATTAAGTAAAAAAACTTAATCATTTTGAGCCCAAAATTTGTTTGAAGGGGAAAGTAGGCTATCTCATTAATTGGTTAGAGGTAACAGTTATTCAACGTTTAGAGAAGGATTAATGTGTTTTATCAGCTATGAATTAATCCAGAGATGATGTAGAAGATGATTAATACTTAGTTGATAGTGTCAAGTTGACTTCAAATGTAAGACTTTTTATCGTTCGCTTTTTAATGCAGTCTCGGGATTTATGGTTTAATCGACCAATTTATTTTAACATTGTGTATTAATGTTGGGTATACTCTCATAGAATTTGGGTGATAACTTTATGGTTACTTCGTATTTAATAATTTCGTTAATCCAATGTGAAATAAATATATTTTCGTAGCCAACAGACAAATGCGTTTACAAAAAAAAATAAAAATAAAAAATCATAAGAGTAAAGCTTCTAGAACCACATATTACAAACATCATAGGGNAAGCAAAGGATTAGGAAAGCGAAAACACGGCCAGATGATTCAAGCCTAATTATCTAACATAATTTATACTTCAACGGTTTTAAATTTCAAAAATTAATAAAATCAAAAATTGGGTCCGCTGTGCACAACCTTATTAACCCAACTATGAAGACATTTTGCACCAATTTGTTGGTGTAAGGGTGGAAATGTATCATATTACAAGTATCATATTAATATAGAGAGCTATTAAACCAGTATATATACTAACATAAAGTATTACCTTTCAAAATAAGTTAGAGACTGAACTGTGTCCGACAGTACGTACATTTAATTAGGGAGAATTTTATCTCTACACAGCATTTACTATTTAATTGTAATATTGCCAAGTGAATTAATTAAATTGCAAGTTTACCTAATGTATGGAAATTGACGATTATTTCTGACTTAACATGAGGCTCGACGAAAGTGTTTGACAATCTGGGCTTAGAAGGTGATCATTAAACTCGTTATTGGGCCTAACGGGTTGGGTTTGTTGCAATATGTCTGAAAGCCCAGGTAAGGATAACGTATAAATTACATGATTTTTATATTAATTAACGAAATAGGATATATGCATCGCTGGAGCCTTGAAGTTNCCCCCCCCCCCCTGTGATTTCACGCCACAACTTTACTTTGACCCGACACCTAAAGCGGGTCGAATACGAAACCCGCACGTACAACTTCCACACGCATAGGTACAAGTACTGTCAAACACCGGATTTGTGTCTCACCGATTGGAAATTGATCCATATATATCTCAGCTCACCACATTTGTCGCTTTTGAAATCAGAATAAACCTCCAGAATCTATTCCCTTTCTTATTTTTCTTCTCCATTTTCTTTTCCTTTTGAGTTTCCCCTTTTCTGTATATATATAAATAGCGTTGTTAGCTTGTAGATTTTCGCTGCTTCAGTTAGAGACAAACAACCATGTCTGCCTCAGTTGAAGTTGTTGGCTTGGAGCTCGTTGAGGATCTTCAGGATCTCGCCATCCAAGCCCAGGTTATAAGAACGTTTTTCGTAGATTCTTCAATTTGTTTAGCTGGTTTATTCCCAGTGTAAATTAATATAGGATTTACCTTGAGGTATGGCTGATTTGTTTTGGCGTGAATCTGATTGTGTAAACGAATCTGGGTATGTAGTTGGATGAAGAATTGGCCGATCAATTATAAATGAAGTTAATGTATGGATATTGTTTGCTGGACGTACCGAATGTTAGAAATGCCAGTAATTATTACAAGTTGGTGCAGTTTCGTGTCCAGCAAATATAAAATGCTTTTAGATTTTGGATCTTTGTGTTTTTTATTGTGGTTCTTAATTACGCCGTGCAACAGTTGCCATCTGGTGCGTTTTTAGTGAACTAAATTAAACTGTGGTTTTCAGACTGGCACGGAAGGGGCCAGTGCAGCAGCAGAGGAGAAGACTAACTTAGGGGGCTGCGACACTAACCAAACTGATATAAATAGCCATCATGGGTTTTGTGCCATATGTTTGAATAGGATAGTGCTTCAAGAAACAGCTCTTGTAAAAGGTTGCGAGCACGCATACTGGTTTGTCCGGTTCTCTATTTATTTAATGGTTACCATTTCAGATGTTTGAATGTTCGTATTTTTCTTTTCTTCTGTTGAAGTAGGTGGGTGTATAAACTGTTGGTTCTCAGTAGCATTTCCATTAACTTTTAGTTGAAACATGAGAATGTCTTTCTCTGTTTTGTGTTTGGATCCCTTTGTTCGATTGATGACTGTTAAACTGGTTCATATCAGCTTACTTTTACAGCTCGAGTTTCCTTGTGAAGTGCCTATGGTCTTGGAACTGATTAGTTTTGTATCTGTTAGCAAATTGTAGATGCTGAAATTACCTCCTTTTAATTGATGTCTATTAGATGTGTAGATATCTCTCTTCACTTAATAGTCAAGCTTGTTGTGTGGTTTTGGTTGATAAATCTAACGAAAACGATAACTGTCTTGTACCTTTTAAGTTGATGTTGGTAGCTATCTGATTGAGTGCACCCCTATATCATGTACAAAAAGTTATGACAATGTGAGAAAAAGGGCTAGTCGTAAAGAATGAATGCAATTACTTTCTTGCGGTTGCCATGCTGTTCCTATATTGAACGGTTAAATTTGTTGGTGAATGTGGGTGAGTGAGGTATTGTGACCGATTAGTTGAGTCTTGTTTTTTATACTGGAGCTTGTTTGTAAGAGCCATGCCCATATTATTCGTAACTCGTGTTTATGTTTCTACAGCGTGACTTGCATTTTGCGGTGGGCCTCTTGCAAAAAGCAACCAACTTGCCCTCAGTGTAAAGTTCCGTTTGAGTTCCTCAACATCCATCGTGCACTTGACGGAAGGTATTATCCTCCCTCTCGAATTTTTTTCTTTTCTTTTCTTTTTATGTTGACATTGGATGTAATTTAATTTGGGTAGTCATTAGTATGATCATGATTGTTGTCATACACTATACAGACAAAATGTTGCAGTTAATTATCAATACTTCTCCATGTGGACATCTATTTCCTTTCCAGAGCTTAGAATATCAGCCAGGAGTATTATAGATACCTCTAGATAAAGGAAGAAGGAATAAACTAACCACTGTATTAGTATGAGTACAATTGTACATATTTCTAGGAACTCGGACTATCCCAACAATTTCCACCCATCAGCTTACCGCTATGATGTATGACTGGATATGATTATTAATAGTTGCAGTATTTATTTTGATTTATTCTTCGCAGCATTTACGATTACATGTTTGAGGAGAGTGTCTGCCTTCTACTGAGAGCTTCATGGTTTAAGCCTCTGGTTGAAGTCGAAAAGGAAGAACTGGACAAATTAGAAGATTGTTATTATTATGAAGATGACGAAGATGATCTAGCTGAATTTAATTTTTCGAGTTCCTCGACCCTCCGAATAGGTAATCGCCGTTGGGGGGACAATGGGTATGTTAGGGCTGGCAGACAAGAAGCAAGGCCCGTTCGTCACTTGTTTGCTCAAGACCCAGATGCTGGCCCATCTCGTCAGGAGCCCAAGAAAGACAGCCCTAATAAAGAGATAGTGGGCCGGCGTGCAAAACGGGCCCAGAAGCGTGAAGCTGCTGACAAGGCGGCTGCAGCTAAGCATCAGAAGCATCTGGCTAGGCTGGGCCGCAAATAGCTTGTGGTCAAGGAAAACCGAGGCCTACGTTCGGGCTTCTTTGTACAGTTGTTGTATCATTTTTCAATTGCTGTTGTTAGCCCCACCTATGCACATTTGCATATCTGTATAAGCTAAGACTAAATTAAATAATCAAAAGGATGGGTGCCACTTCCTAATTTATGTAGTTTGGCACTTTAAAAGTTAGCTGTTAGCTGCTGCTGAATGCTGATGTTTGGATTTAGAGTGTTGGAGGTTGTATTCTGATGTTATTGTGATCACGACCAATACTTGTTATATTAGCAACTTTTTTTTTTTTTAATTATTATTATTATTATTTTTTGGAACGATAAAAGAAGTTCAAATAACAAAATATAATGTACAAATACAATCTGGGTAGAAGCCCCCAATACGAGTCGGATGAGATAAGAGAACCACACAAGTGTCACAATTCTGGTTGTGTCACAATTCCCCACACTCCAAAATAGTAGAATGAGGACACTTGATTAATGTTTTGAAATTCCAGCCCTCCCCATTCATTTGTTAAAGCTATCCACTTTCAAGATTTTCAGGGAATCCCCTTGTTATGATCCTCCAATTTGCTCCACCAGAAATTGGCACACAATTGTGTAATCACCTTGCGCGAATTAACAAGAAACTTAAGACATGACATCACAAAGACTGGTAAAGCATTGAGTACTGCTTTAATCAGAACTTCTTCCCTGCAGTAGAAGAGAATTTATTTTTTCAGCTATTAATTCTCCTTCTCACAACATCTAACACTGAATCAAAAGCTTCCCTTTTAGACTTCCCTATACCCAAAAGTAACTCCAAATATCTGGAAGATCTATGAATTCTAATGCCTTCAGGAATTCTGAAAATACTCTCATGATCCTGAACTGAAGTGTTTTTGTTGAAAAAAATAGAAGACTTGTCCATATTTATCATTTTCCCAGTAAAAAGCTGACATTTCTCAAGAATTTGAATGATCATATAAGCTTGATTGGTATCAAGTTTACAAAACAGCGAGGAGTCATCAACAAAGAACGAGTGAGTAAGCATAGGACCCTCTCTAGATAATTTCAAAAATACAATCATTTTTAACTCAACCATTTTTTTTAACTCTTAACTCAACCCCACTATCATCAATATTATCAATATAATTAAATAATATCAACCAATCATTTTTATACATCACATCAACTTTAATTCACTATTCATCCACTCACATAATTTTAACTAACAATCACTTCAAACCATCTATCTCCTACTTTTACATCTAATCAACTTTAATTATTTTATTTAAATATTATTTTAATATACCCACTAACAACTAACCATAGCACATTTTTCAAAATTAACCAAATCAAATCAAAAAATCCAAACAAATCTAAAATATATCCAGGCATCCTCTAAATACCTCCCAAGCCAAAGCCAAACTTAATAAGAGAATAAAAGATCTCTAACACTAGTATGAATAAGTAAGGAGATATAGGATCCCTCAGTCTCAAGCCTTTGGATGGAGATATATAACCACAAACTCATTCATTTAAGTTGAAAGAGAAAGAAGTTGAAGAGATGCAAGCCAGAATCCACATACAATTTCAGATGAAAGCTCATGTTCAACATAATAAATATAATGCTACTCCACACAATTCTATCATAATCTTTCATCATATCAAGTTTCAAAGCCATAATTTTTTTTTCACTAATCTATGTTTGTTAAGATAATGAAACACCTCATGAGCCACAACTACATTATCTAGCATTTATTTGCTAGGAATGAACGCAGATTGTGATTCACTGATATAGACATCGAGGCAACATTTGATTCTCCTAGTTAAAATTTTAGATAATCTTATAGGCAACCCCATAAAATCTTATCGATCTGAAATGACTTGAGGTTTCGGGATTAAGGCATTTTGGTATCAGAGTTATTAAAGTGTGGTTCCAATATTTCAGCATTATCCCAGAATCAAAGAAACAATACACATATCACCCTTAATTATTGGTCATAAGTGTTGGAAAAAAAGAGCAGACATACCATCATCACCAGGAGCTTTTCCTGAGTTCAAGCTAAAAAGAGCCTATTTGATTTCTTCATCCTCCACATGTGCCAGTAGATCTATATTCATCGATGTGGTTATTGTTTGAGGAATACTTTGCAAAATGTCCTCCCCCTAGATGATCCTTCTGAAGTAAACGTATTCTTGTAGATCTTGTAACACACTATTCTATCTCCTCTTCATAATCACACACTCTATTCTCCTCAGTGAGTAGTCGGCTTATTACATTCATTTTCCTTCTCTGCAAAGTGTAAGCATGAAAAAACTTGGAGTTTTGATACCCTTCCCTCAGCTACTAGACTCTAGCTTCTGTTTACAAAAGCACTCATCAAAGAACTCATCTTCCTCCAATTGATTCTGTTCTCATTCTTCCCCATTTATCTCTCCTCCTTTCTCTATCATTTCCTCCAGCCTCATGGTGAGTTTTGCAACTTGAGCTACATCATCAGTTTTGTTTAGTCTACCCAATTCAACAAAGCCAACCTTGTTTATTTTCTTTTATTTACTTTCCTTGACTCTGAACATTGGTGTACCCTCCTAAGATTCTCCCTAACCATCCTGCACAATTTAACTCCTTAAATTTTGAACCACCTCTTATAAAATTGAAATCTTTTTTTTTCTTCTTCTAGATAACTCAACAGCTTCATCATGGTTAGAGGTAATAGTGAAATAGACTTCACTCGTGCTCCTTCTACCTCGGACAACCTCCATACCTGCAAGAACTAGATGCCGGGAAGGGTCCCAGCGCCGAGCATCGATGCCTAAGTCAGCACTTGTCAGAGATGAAGTGCAATATGGTAGTATAATAGTGAATGTAGAGAGTGTGTTTTTGTGATACCTTAGGCCACTTTTACAGGAGAGGTGTACCTTAGTGCCCAAGTTTGACTTGAGCAATACCATTATGACATGTGTCCTACCCCATCTGCAGGTTTATTCCCTAGTATATTCCTTTTTATCCATCCAGTATGATATTCTATATGAAGAGGTACTCCTAAATACATTGGAAACTTTAGTATTTGGGAACATAGATAACCAACCAAAAGAGACAGATACCCTATCCAGTTTCTTTTACCGTTTATTTTATCTCTTATATATATATAGAGTTAGGATCATACGAGAAAAAGGGATAGTGAAAGAAATAAGAATGAACGTATACCTTTAGATCTAGCAAATCAGTGGTCATGATCAAGTCAAAATTTAATAAATCAGTCAAATATATAATGGCATTATAGTAAATAGTAGAATATATAGTGGTCAAATATATGCATTTGACCACTCATTAAGGGTATAATGGTCATTGAAACAATTAATTACTTAGAGCATCTCCAATAGTCTTTCTATTTCTCTATTTTGTTGCCACATGGCACAACTAATATTATGTGGCTTGGAAAAATTCTAGAAGGCTTTCTAGATGTAGACACCCTTCTAGACAACTTTTATTGTATATTATATTATTTATTCAATTTATTTATTTTCTTCAACCAATTAAAATTTTACATCACAAATAATACTACAATTAACATTGACCATTGGAGATATAAATTTTTAGTTTTCATTCTCCATGCCATATAACACAAAATTGATAAGTTTCCATTGGAGATGCTCTTATTTTGTGAACCCCACTCCAACCCACCCCACACATCTCTCTCACGCACTAACACCTAAACACACACTGCACTCACGCACATACCACTGCACACACACACACACACACACACGCACACACACACAAACTCATGTCCGGCAACAACACACTGCCACCAGCCCATCGACTCCCGTTCGCCGTCAGTCACCGAGATGACTGCCATCGGCACCAGAGATGACCGCCACCAGCAGCACTGCCTCCGCAGCTCCGCTGTCCGTTGCAGCCATCGGAGATGTCCGCCACCAGCACCATCGCCTCTACCGTCCGTCGTAGCCACCGGAGGTGTCCGCCGTCAACCACAACTCCAAGATTCACGCCGGTCCCGTGCGATCTGCTTTGGCGCAATGCTGCTCGGCGGAAAGCCCCCGCTGTCAGGCCCTGCAATTGAATTACAGATTGTCTATGATATGGTCGCGGGAGGGTGAGGTCCTCCGCCGCCGTCGTCGCATGAGTACAAGCGTCGTGGACGACCGGCGACTGTATGTGAATGAAATCTTGATGTAGCTTGTACAGAACCTGATTCAAGATTTGTGAGGTAAGCATTTGAGAATATGATAAGTTTAAGGGACTTAATTGCAATTCTAAGGTTTTTATTAAATTTAAATTTAGTACATGGGTTAAATTTATAATTAATAAAAAATATATTAAATGCACAATGATAAATAAAGTGTAAAATTTATTTCAACTATAAATGCCCAACAAAAAATATATTAAATGCACATTGAATTTTTAGTACATGGATAATCCTTAGGGCTTTTTTGATAAATGTGCTAAATATTGTGTAGAAATATGTGCTTTAAAGGTAAAAACAATTAATCCAAATGAAATCTAAAATTTTGAATTAAAAATTTTGATATAATAGGTTTAATTTGTCGGTTTAACATAAATAACCAAAATAACCGACATAAATTATATTATTTATTTTAAAAAACATGATTAGCATTTAATAGTTTTTTATTTAATATTCTATATTATTTTTTGATTATACATATTATTATATATGTAAACAAAAATATACTGTGCAAACTAACAGTTATTAAGGTGCAATTCGTCTAACAATATGGTGCACGGTGTCAGTATGTATTGTGCATATTAAACCAACCGAACTTTTATACCAATCAAATTGAAAATTTGTGATAAAGTGGACCGTATTGTTTTATAAAGTGCAATGTGTTGATGTATAAAGTGCACTACTATAAATTTGGTATTTTAGCATGCTTTTGTTTTACGTGTACAAATGATCTGATGGATGTTAAAATATTATGTAGATCAACTTTTTAGATTTATGTTGTGTGGTATTTTGGCGGGAACTATGTGACGATAAAATGTAGTTTGTTGTTTTATAAAGTGCAACACGTTATTCTATAAACTGCACTAGTTTATACAATCCCGGAAAATGATGTGTATTCAAAAATTAGTTTTAATATACGGGGGCGGATCCAGTTTTTTTTTTTTTTGGGGGGGACTATATATTTTTTAATAATTTTAAATTTAATTTAATGTACATAAAAAATTTAGAAAGTTGTATTATCAAATTATACATAATAATACTGCAATATAATTTATAAAGTTTTAACCTTGACATTAACAAATTTACATTGAACACTTTCTCAACTAGGA